CAAAAAATTGCGGTGAGCGTGGATCGAACACGCAACCTTTAGATCTTCAGTCTGACGTTTTCCCAACTGAGCTATTCCCGCGACATGGAGACGTTTAGGTAGCAAAACATTTAAAGTATACAGCTAAAATGTTATCATTTGACATCGCAGCACTTCCCTAGCCGTGCTTTCAAAGTAGCAATGTCCGTGTGATGAAACTTTTATTTCAAGTAATATGATGAATACAACCACATGTAATTTGTAAGGACAGCAGCTACAATACATTTTTTAAGATTCATACAAACCATGGTATGGACAAAAGATAGTTGCAGCAGTCCCTAGTGCAGACATCATACATGGCCAACTCAACATTATTTCTTTCACCACAAAGAATGGAGATCTTGTGGTTGAGACAATTCTAATTTAGCAGACTACAACTGTACTGGCCTCCAGATAGAGAGAGCTTCTCTGCTTTTGTAACAACATCTAAAGGAAGAGGGCAAAAGCTTCGAGATGGACCGTAGAAATGAGGGAATCAGTCGACACCATCTACCAATTCATATATCAATCCATCCCCAAGCTGCAAAGATATAGGCCATAAAATGATGAACAATTTGAGCAAGTAAAATATTAATAAAATATCAATAAAATATCATGTTATCAATCACTGAATCCAACGAAGGAGGACAATTTTAGTCAATGATGCTTTGTATGATTCCCAATTAATTTGAGTCAATAACAGAGTCATCCATGGATTCAATCCCCTAACAAAGCCTCTTAATGTCCATCTTCTGCTTAGCCCCTCCTCTTCTTCCTCCTCCAACATATTTCCCAATCCAAGGGTCAAGGTAATAACAATGATGTGTTGCAACTAATGAACTGTTACCCATCAGGTTTTTTAAGAATCAGTTGTACCAGAAGTTTAGATTTTAAACTTGCTTTTATGTTTCATAAACTAAAACAAAAAAATCAGAAGATTTTAACACTTTAAAAAGGATAAAATCTCCTTCAATATTTTTGCCTTTTTCTATCTTATGCTCTTTGTTGCCTAAATGGTTTCTTAAACCTAAGTAATGCTAATACAAGTTAACTGCTTTGAGTTTCAGCTTTTTACAGTATCAAAGTTTTAGCACCACCATTGATCTGGTTCAACTAACACAATAAGAAGAGGAATAGGCCCAATCACACATTCATCATCAAGTTAAATGCATCACTAATAATGGGGACAACCAGATTAACAATCTTCTGCTTTGTTAACTATAACAAGAAATTCATTCCCCATTTCTATCTGCTGTTAACAACCAACACAAAAATGAAAATATTTCATACACAAATGTCAAGAACCCATCATTGGTACTTCCTTTCATGCTCATCCAGAGAAGTTCAAATAAAGAACAAGATAATTCATAAGGATTCAATGACACAAAGTGAAGTGCTTTACCTTCTTAGCATCAATTTGAAGAAGATACAAATCCTCCTTCACATTCATGAAAAATTTCTGCAACGTTGGCCGTCCCTACAGAATCATTACCCCAAAAAATTACAGTCTCAGAAGCTACAGGAGCAATCAATCCGAGCAGTGGGCAGATGTATCAATGAAACACTAGAAAGCAATAAAGCAAAGAGAGAGACCTGATCGAGATTGCTCAGATGGAAGCAACCAGTGGACTGATCAAGCTCTCCGCCAAAAATAGACCCATTTTTCTGCAACTCTTCCCACTCCTTGGCCGTGCTAATCCTGTAAACGAACTCTTCCCCTTCACTCCCTCCCTCTTTCGCTGCCATTCCGACAATCTTATCCAGCCGACCCTACCCTACCGACAACCTGATTCATCATTTGACCAGAACATGACATAAATTTCCCATCTGGGTAGAAATATAATTACCTAATACGATAAGGGTACATTTGCAATTTGCTTATTTTCCTGTCACCCTCCAAGTGTCAATTTGCGGGCCAAATTTCCTCCGGTATTCGCCGTTAACTCCGAGGTTCAGTTCCAGTGGGTAATGCCATCTTCTAGTAGTGTCCTTTTGTAGATTCTAGTACAATCCTTCCTGGTTTTAGAGATTCTCGTTTCTCTAATCTTAAAGGGACGCTGAAAACCTCAAGAAAGGCATCGTTTGTTCCTGTAATAGCATCCCAGAGCTCTCCTGGTACGTCTCTTAGGACAATGTTTTATGGATTTTGAATTTATTGTGTTTCCTTTTTTGTGTGGAATGTGCAATTGGTGTCTTGATTTTTATTGGGATTCTTTCTTTTCTAGTAAATTATGTCCCGGACGCAAAATTTTACAAGGTGGAAGCGATTCTCAGGTACATAAACCGCCCTATCTTTCTCTTTCCCATGCATGCCATGGATCATTTCCATTTCTAATTGTTTTTCCTTTTTTGTTCATGTGCTGAATTTCGGATGGAAAAAATATGCCCTGGCGAATCCAGCAAGTTTCTTCGGTAAGACAGTAAGAGCTGATGGATCTTTAGATTTATGTATGTAGTTATAAAATGCACTTCATATTTCTGACTTTCTTTCCATGGATAGTTAATTAGATCCTGCTGTGTTGTATCAGCATTTCTGTCTCAAAGTTCTCATATGAGGAATATTTGGGCCATTGCATTGAAAAGATAAGATTTATTTGTGTAGATGAGGTTTTTTGTCAGGCTTTAAAAAGTTACGTGATAGAAGCTACTATTTGTTATTTGTTCTACCCTTACGTATCCTGTGTCGTTGTATCTTGAATCGCAAGATGAGGGTTCACAAGACACAGGCTCTAACTCTGTATCTTGGTCGCCAAGGGATTTGTGGAGAGGAAAGTGATTCAGTTGTAATTTGAGTATGTTAGTCATAAAGGATGGCAGAAATGCATGATTAATCCTCTTATGACTTGCTGAGGATCTTCATTTTAGTGAGGAATAGATTAATTTTGTGGTGTCACCATGTTTTCACCGGATAAGCTGAATGGTCTCAAATATGCATTGACTATATTTTGGTTCATGTTCAAGTTATGGTTGTAGTACTTTTATCTCTGAGAAATTGAGAACAATAATGATAAGACTGTTAATTTAAAGCATCTTCAAGACTCCTTTTTTATCCCCCCATTTTCAAACAAATCATGGGAGAAATAAGAGGCTCATACAGTCACTTCTAATTATTTCGAGCTTCTTCCAAGTGTCATACCATGGATATGGATCCTATTCCTGTATTAAGGAAGACATATTCTTTCCAATGGAATGAATCCTTTGGTTAGCATTTAACTTCCTTTTTTGTCCGGCTATATTTTTATTATTATCCTGCTTTGAACTATTTCTTTAGTTGCCTGGTGGTATTCCATTTGATTATTCATTTTTGTTCTGAAAATTAAGGCTTTGCTGAAAATGGGCATTCGTGGTGTTACGGTTTCTGATGTATGAGGGTTTGGGGCTCAAGGGGGCTCAACAGAGAGACATGGTGGTAAGCATTTCTCCTGTAGAAGGGGTTGAAAATTTAGCCACTCTCCTCATTTTGCTTCCACTTTTGTTTCGTTTTCCTATCCTCTCCGTGAAGATGCTGAAAAATTCACTGGTGTTTAGTCTATCTCCACTAGTTATTTTTCTGTGCTTTCTAGGACAGTCATGAATTTAGTGTTTTTAACTGTCTTGCCTAAAATTTTCTTCTGGTTTATTTTTTACTCTGTTGGCTCTGAATTTTCTGGGGACAAGTTTCTTGCTAAAGTTAAAATGGAGATTGTGGTGAGAAAGGAGCAGGTATAGATATAATATGAAGAATCACCTCTATAATTAGATATGAAACATTTGATATATTGCAATAGAAGGAAAATCATGGCAAATTTATTGCTTAAAATCTCTCGTTAAGTTATTGCATTGAATTATCCTGTCACTGTGTCACAGGTGGAGGCTGTGATTGATCAGATAATTGAGGAGGCAAGGACGGGAGAGATTGGTGATGGCAAGATATTCTGTAAGCATCCAAATTTGTTCTTCTCAAACTATATGGTTGAGGGAATTCTTCCATTATGGCTAAATAAAGCTGTAAACTATAAAATTATGGAACCACGATAGTAAAACTTTCAGGTAAATGAAGTTGTTTTGTAAGTTTCTTTATGATTTGACTTCTGAGAAAATCATACATAGACGAGGCCTCTTTGCAGACATTTGGTGTAAATGAGCTAGGAAATGTTTTATGTTCTGCAACATCAGATTGTTAGAACTGCTGCTGTGTCCTGATTTAGCCTTCTTTTTAATTCCTATTATAGCTTGATCGTGGTGACTACATCTTTATGAAATTGTCTCTGTTGCCTCTTTGTGCATCTTAACCACATCCAAAAGAGTAGGATTGTTAATTTAGAGTCAGTAGGGGTACATTGTCTCATATTTGACCATTGGAACCCTTTCTCTGTGGATACATCTTGAAGCTTCTAACAAAGTTTTTTTGGTCATGCAGTGGTGCCTGTCTCTGATGTCATTAGAGTTTGCACAGGTAATTATATTCCATTCAAATTCAAGTAATGCTTTCTTAAATTGCTTGTTGAAGCATCTCTTCAAATATTTAACGACTTTTCACCTTGCAATTCTCAGGCGAGCATGGAGGGAAAGCTGAGAGGATGGTCGGAGGACAATCTGACGTGTCCACTGCTGCATAACCAGATTTGCATTGTCAGCAAAGTTAGCTGCAGCTTACTCCAATTGAAGTGTCAAAGCTGCAGCTGCCCTTAATTTGTCGAAGCTTATGACAGTGTTAGTTGTCTAGCATGTATTATCTCCTGCGAATTAAAATAAAGATGAACCATCAATCACATTGCTTTCTATCTCATCATAATGTGAAGCTGTTACTGGCTACTTAGCTGTTATATTTTGCTTAGCTGTTATTCTTTTGTGCCACCTATCTTGCCCATCCACTCCTATAAAAGCCATCCTGATATCGTTAAGGACTTGCAGGGTTATACCATTACAGAAAGACCGTCTCAGTTTCCATTGCATCCTCCTTGACAACAGAGGCCACTAACAAACAAATTAGCTTGAAGCTTCTAGTAGACACAAATGCCCAGAGAGTTGTATTTGCTGAAGGAGGAAAAGACTTAATGGATTTTCTATTTAACTTATCACACTTGCCTGTTGGCATTGTGATGAGGGTTCTTGCTAGCCAGAGTGTGGAGGGCTGCCTTGCAAACATCTGCAAGAGCATTGAAGATTATAATGACAAGATCATGCATCCATCATGAAACAAGTGTGACTTGGTGAAGCCAAAGGTTGAGATCATTAACACAACTGATCCTCAAGAATTGTTAGATATTCAGACTACATTTTCTTATGCATTTTCCAAGTCCTACAGTTGCCGTTCGATGTTTCAGGCCATGCGAATTGCCTCACCCCCTATATTAGTTGAGCCATCCAAGAAATCTCTCTCGAATGATGGTGGTTATGTGAGCGGCGAGCTGATATACATGGTCATGGATGACCTGTCTGTGAGGCCTAATTCAGCTGTTTTTGTTATTACCATGCTTAACCGACTTGAAATAAAGAATATCGTTACTGTTAAAACTAGGGGGGTTTGTTTAGGCACAAACGAGGTATGGCGTCAATCCTCTTGCTCCGTTTCATTCCTTGTGTTCCTAGTTCATTTTATTTTAGTTCTGCAAAAACGGCTCTCACAATAGTCAAAATTCTTGTTTTAGAACTTCCTTGAGTCATTGTGTTCTAACTCTTGGTCCTTATTGCTTGGTTCTGTTTCAGGCTTTCAAATTGCTCAAGGCATCG